GACTGGTGGTGGCGGTGCGTGGTACGGGAATAGCTTCATGTTTATGGTGTTGGCCCCGTCTGTGTGTGTGTTTGCGCGCGCGCGCATTAAGTTAGCCTAACCGCGACCAGCCCACGCATCGCGCGCTTGTACGTGCGAGCCACAGCATAAAGAATCAAGACAGAGACGCGAAAAAAAAAAAGGGGGTGGCAAAATACTAACCGATTGGGATCATGCACTCGCCGTAGTTATTCAAGTCCTCCTTCACAATCTCCAGCAGACTCTCGATGGGCCGCCGTCCATCGTCGGCCTGGCCGTCGGTGCTCAGGTAGCCGTTCTGGCGCTCCATCTCGGCAAAGGTGACGGCGAAGCGGCGTACGAGGCGCTCGTAGGGGATCTGGTCGACATCGGCCTCGATGACCAGGCCGAAGTTGAAGATGAACTCGTTCCGATGGTAGCGCTCGTGAGGGATGGACACGGGGAAGCCGAGGATGCTGTGCTTGCCGTCGGGCGTGTTCACGGTCACGAAGCGGTTGAAGAAGGCCTTGCGCGGGATGATGTACTCCTGCACGATGTCGAAGTCCACCAGCGGCGGCTTGAGATGCGGCGTGAATTCGGTGGCCACGATGCAGCCCGGCGGTGATTGGGCTACCACCTTGGTGCCTTTTTGATTTTTTTCGAGTTAGTATATATATGTATATATATGTATATATGTCAAGATATAGGGAGGAAGGATATAATCATGACAGGATAAGTTTGAGAGATGCATGAGCTGAGCTGATCACAGGGCTGGTTGGAGTGAGAAACAGTAGATGGACGAAGAAAAGGCGAAGCAAGAGAGAAGAGAAACCCATGATTAGCCCTGGACGGGCAGATAGATGGAGGGAGGAATGGTTGAGTATCATTATTTGCTTGCCTTCTTGGGGAAGAAACCTCGCATAAAAGATGCCTTGGATCATCTTGCTGTCTCTGTTGTCGCTGTTGTCTGCTGTCCGTGGAATCCCAGTTTACGGTTCACGTATCGTATAAGACGCTATGGGCATCACAATAATACATCGTCTCCGCCTGATGGGTGTTTAGAGACAAGGGTTCCGTGGCTTCAATCAACTGTTTCACGAAAACATCACAAGCTTCATTTTCAAGTTCGCCATCTCAAGAAGCGCGAGATGTTATGAGTGTGGCATCTCAGTGAAAAGCGAAGCTTGATAGGTGAGTGAGTGAGTGAGTGAGAGGTACATGTGAGGTTAGGTGTATCTACAGTACCTAAGTGCTCCTACACAGTACCTACCTACAGCTTACCTGACGGTTGATTATCGGGTAATTTCCCTAATAACCCCCTAATCCCCTAGTTAATGCTCCCGAGTCCCAAATGCCCCTCCCAGCGCAGGCCCAGCGAATCTTAAAGTACGCGCTATGTTCTGTAATCTCCCACTGCCCAGACTACATGTATTTATTACCTTGTAGCGACATAGGTAGGTAGGTGCTGCGTATGTAGGTACCTATAACTAACCCCTGAGTGCTTGCTCCGAAGCTACCCCGGAGCTCGTTATTTAAGTCGGAGCATCGTCGTTCCAAGTCCAATAACAAACAACATTCGCCACGTCTATCAATCCTATCAATATCTCAACGGAAGATTAGAATATTCATATGGCCTCTTTATAGTCGGAGGTCATAGAAAAATAAACTCCCTCAACCACCGCCAAAAACAATAGCGGCAACAGCAATAATAATTATAATAACAACAGCATCATCATCATCATCATCACCATGAGTGAAGAACAACCAACAATAACCACCCCGCCGGCACCGGAGGCAGCAGCAGCACCTACAGCAACCACAACGCCTACGCAGGAGACAAACGCACAAGCGCAGGCGCAAAAGACAGAATCACAGGCTCCGGAGACGTCCAAAACACCGCTGCCGGATGAGCCGATTGTCTCACTCCAGGAACTCTGGGCCACCGCCGAAGCTCACGAACACCCCGAGATTTGGGGCGTGACACTGGCCGATCCATCCACCCACATCCCCTCCCAGATCGTGCTGCAGAAGTACCTGAACGCCAACGATGGGGACGTCGCCAAAGCGAGGGACCAGCTCACCAAGACACTGGACTGGCGGAAGAAGACCCAGCCTCTCCAGCTCATCAAGCAGACCTTTTCCAAGGAGAAATTCGGGGGCTTGGGCTATGTCACCGTCCACGTGGCCGACAAGAAGGAGGGAGGCGAGGAAGAGGCAGCTAGGGAGATCTTCACTTGGAATGTCTACGGTAACGTGAAGTCGATCGACGTCACGTTCGGTAATCTCGAAGAGTAAGCCCGTCTCCCACGTCGTAAACTAGTTCTTATGCACACCCACCCCTTCATCCGGACGCCCTCCACTCCCCGTCCCTTCTCTCGGCACAGGTAGTCGGTACCGGCGATACTAACAATATCCAGGTTTATCAACTGGCGCGTAGCCCTCATGGAACTCGCCGTGCAAGAGCTTGCGCTCTCCACCGCCACGGTCCCCATCTCCGCGGATCCGGACGCTGACCACTACAAGATGTTCCAGGTGCACGACTACAAGGGCGTGTCCTTCTTGCGCCAAGCCCCCCAGGTCAAGGCGGCGAGTACGGAGACGATCCGCGTCTTCGCCACCGCGTACCCGGAGCTTCTCAAGGAGAAGTTCTTCGTCAACGTCCCGGCCGTCATGGGCTTCATGTACGGGTTCATGAAGTTGTTCGTCGCCGCGCGGACCATTGTAAGTGTTTGCTTCCTCTCTAGCTTGCTCGCTGGCTATTGGCCCCTCGAGCACAATCTCTCTTCATGTTTGGCGTAGCCCACATCAGCACTCCGAAATCATGTGAACGCCACCGCTAACCCGGCCGGATGGCCTTTGCAGAAAAAGTTCCACCCCATGTCCAACGGTGCGAACCTCGCTAAGGAGGAATTCGGTGGTAGCCAGGTGGCGCTTAGAGACATGTTGCCACCCGAGTACGGTGGTAAGGGTGCCGATCTGAAGACACAGGGCACAGAACCGGCGGTGGAGTAAAAAGGATATACCCCCCCCTTTATCTATGGACTCTAGTAAGGCGAGGAGCTTAGCGGTTGATAACGTATTCGATTTATTTTAGAGCAGTAGTAGCATTATATTGTAATCAGGCTAGGTTTAGAATTTAGCCACGCCACATACATTACCGAGACGCGAATAGTCGCCATTCAAGTTAGATAATCATGATTCATGCTATCCGCACAACTAGCTGTGCCTGTAATGGTTATCGTACGTAGCTAAGTATTCGTGTCCTAACCGATTTGTCTGTTGATTAAGCGTAGCAGTTACCAAGTCTGCGAATCATGCCCACTCCAATTCTTATCTTCGCCATCATTCGTGGCTCTGTTGTCTTCCGCTCCCAGGTGATGTAGGGCGCGGAATCGGGGTCTTGCCATTATCGCTACCACCCGTTTCTTCGTCAGATTTACTTCTCTTCCACGGCCAAGTCGATCTGCGCTCGGCAAACTTGAACGGCAGCCCTTGTTGCTCATACTCCACCATAACATCATCGAATGTCCTCCTATCTTGTTTTGCTTCTTTCCTTACTTGCCGCGTCCGGAACAACCATATCAAGTGAGATATAAAAATCCCTATTTCGAGGGTTATACTAGGAAAATGCATCCCGTTAGCCGTATGCCTCATCATAATCAGCCAGCGGGGTAGGGAGGGACGACACAATCCCTCTCGTTCCGTACCAAACAATGTACATGACGCCTCCCAGGATATCAAACGTGTGCTGTGTGACAAGAGACAAGAGGGAGAAGAAGGCGCCCAGCGAGTCTATAGTAAGGAAAACGAAGTTGATCCCGATGATCCGTCCCCGGCGCTTCCAGGCTTCGCCGTAGGGGGGTAGCAAGCCGGCAGCCAGAAGAACAGCGGCAACAACGCCGACCACAATGACTGGGGTCTCGTTCCCGGCTTTGTAAACGGGCTGGTATTGGATTAGAGAAGGGCAGGCCGAGATGATTTCGCGTGGGCTTACGCGTAATGTGAGAATCAAGGCCGTCTCTACACCGGCGAAGCCAACGGCAGTGCCGGTTGTGACGATGGCGACCTTCCAAAGGGCCCATCTACTGGCGGTGCACGACGTCAGATTCCCGTTGTATGATGGTATGCCGCTTTTGTAGAGCGCGACTCACTAGGAATAAAGCAGGGTCTGGCCCCAATTCAGCAAGCATAGGAACATGAAGACATGGGGCTGTACTTGGATCGGGATGTTGAAATTCTGGACGATGGCGTATATACCAAAAGGGACGCCGCCTAGACGGACAGACCACGGTCATTAGCGGGGGGCCGGGCCACAATTCAATTTCGGATCGGATCGGCTGTACGAACTTATTGCCCATAGAAACATCATGGCGGCGGGCAAGCCCTCAGTGTCCTTTCTCCGCCAATTCGTCCACGCTTGCGGTATCAATTGAATGGACCATAGCACCGTGCCGATAGTCTGTAGAGGCAGGCTCCTCATCAGTATCTCTTCCCGTGAAGTGGCCGATCCAGACAAGCATTGAGCCGGGGAGTCACTTCACTTACACCTAAGACATTGGCGGCGACGGGGATGTCTTCCTGGGGTGCCATGACCCTTCCGATCCCCTTCGTATCCTGGAAATCCTCCCAAACCTACCTGAGATAGACTCTTAATTAATCTTGGGCTAGGACGGACCTACGACATTGAGAGGATATGTTTTTAGATCAGAACAGACTCTAAAATGGGGGTTTGGTCAATATCAATATATCAATGTATCATGGAGGCGCAGAGGTTTCGGCTACTATCAAGAGTAACTAACATTATTCTAGCATCTAAATAAGTGTTATTTGTGGTACCTCGATCGCGGTGGAATTTTGGTGGGACCTGAAGTACTAAGAATAAAAGGATCTAATTGGACAGCAACCTGGCTACCATGTATTCATGTGGAGATGCAGTTGAGAAAGCGCTCAGAGGGATAGACCAATGACTTAGAATGTGCTTCTAAACTCTGTCGATCAACACTGGACCCATAGCTCAGCGGTTAGAGCATCTGATTCCAGCAAAACCGGCAAGTACTAGATTGTGCTAGTAAGGTACTGCCTCCAGAAGGTCATCCGTTCAAATCGGGTTGGGTTCAATTATATAATTGTCATATTTTTTATTTTTCATTTGATTATTTTAAAAGCACACATATGGCCTTTAACCTTTTTTTATACTTATTATACTAAAACTGTTTTTTTTTAAACTTTAAATATATTGTTATATATACATACTACTTAAAGGATGGCAATCCTAGTTTTTTGCTTGTTATGTCTTTTTGTTCCTTACCGCATGCATGATCAATTCTTTACCTTCTAATTTATCGACGGGCCCATGCATCCGTGGAGCTGTGGCGCAACGGTTAGCGCGTCGGATTCCAGTCCCGAAGGTTGTCCGTTCAAATCGGGCCAGCTTCAACTTTTTTTTTCCAGTTTCTCAGCATATCTGCCGGCATGGCATGGGGGTGTTGACCGTTGGTATCACCACGCAAGTACCAATGAATGGTACGCGGTTGATATATAGATCTCATGCCATTCCTAGCTACCTGTATCCCCCCGGTACCCATATTGAATTGAAAAGGAGCTGGTAAGGTATTTATCTACCCACGTATTTATCGTATATATCCAAGGAATTGGGATGTAGTACTTTTTGCTGTGCCCAATCACCCACTTTAGGTCAGTGTCCACATATTTGGCCATTGCGACAGCAGCAGTGATGAATTAACTTTACGCTACTAGGTAGATCTTCAGTTCGAATCCCAAGTTAATTTGCGACGAGTGCACCTAGTATAAGGAATGTTTGCATCTGCGGACTTAGTGTGGTACTTAGGAGCAGTACATATTGCAGAACTACAAGCCGTAGATTTCATATTGCCGACGTAGACACTAGGATTCAGAAGCTTATACTTTGGTTCTGGGTCGTCTAAGACACGGGATCCGCAAGAAACGCAAGCAACCGGCAAGGGAGCTGAACCAGGTATAATCAAATCCGAGGAAGAGTTTCAGTGACCTCGGCATACTTCGCAACGTAAAAATCGGTAAACAACTATTAGAGCCAGCTTACAAATGCCGACGTGGTTTAGTTCTTCTTCACGTGTAGTAGGGTAGGCATTAGAGTATTGTATGTATACTTTGTATAGTTGTTCCGCAGATGGTATGCCGATACCGTCAATTGATACCCCTTTTTTGTTTTGCATCCAGTTGCGGAAAGCTTCTGGTATACTCTCCCAGTTTGAGCTTTTGATAGCACCTGGTGCAAAAATATTTTCTGCGGTTTTTGTATCTGATTCATCCTTAACAAAGACTTGGATGCAATATTGACCGTTGACTGCAGGCTACAATGGACAAGGTGAAACCATGCTTTCGTACTTAAGTGAGTTCCGATTCAATGTGTCGATTTGCTTCTGTTATAGCGTTTTGGACACTATAAATTAGATCGGGAACGTTGGCTTCGTAGCAGTGATCTTTGGTTAAGCCTTCCATGCGATGCAACATGGGGGCTAGAGCATTCGTAGAAACAGTTCTTGGACATCCGATACGCTCACGTCTCCCTTCTCTATAGAGAGAATTTCCCCAATGTCTTCGGCGAACTCATGATCCGATATAGAACCGACGGGAGATGGACCGATGTTGAGGGCATCAAGATCCTCGTTATTGTTCGCTAAGTCATGATCGGATATTCCTGTATAATAACGAGGTGATGCTTCGTTGAGTTGACTCTTTTCGGTAACGAATGTTGTCACATCTCAACATACAGCTGGGTACTTAGTTAACCAACAAGATCCTCGAGACCTAATGCGGACATCACCCGCACCCACCTCAGTAATCGAGTATATGTGTTTATTGCATGCCCCTAGAGGTAACCACCCAAAGTCCTTTACATGGGTACCTTACCTTAAGGTGAGGTACGGCCTGCCTGAGGCGCATGAAAGTCTGGTGCCTTAGGTACATGTAGGTATGGCGCCATGTGTGTGCTGAGTAATGCGGGGTAGTTAAAATTTGTTGAAGAGGTACCTGAAAATATTTGAAATCGATGTATTAAGATTCCAAAAAAGCCTCGGCCGCCACACCATCCGACACGTTTGTTAATACTTGGTAGGTAGGCATAGACTCATGCATCGTAAGAACCTTCTCGACGGGACTGCGCCTTTGCTGATGTCTCTTCTTACAGATACTTAAATACGCACATAGACCTATGATAGACACATAGACACATAGATAGACAGTCTGCCTACCTACCTACCTAGGTACCCATCCACCTGACCTACCTAGGTACCTACCTACTGCCTGGTTAAGGCGCCGCCGTTGGATTTATTCTTATCCCGCCGCCCCTCTGCTTCACTATAACTACATACTATTAATTCTTCGTGTCGCAACGTCTCCCCTGATCAGCCCAGTCCCAGTCCTAGTCTTAGCCCTAGTCTCGGTCCCACGCACGTGTCGCATCTGTCTTGGTCCCTGGTCGCACTATCTCGTGCCGTATCCCCATCCCCCGCCCCAAAAGCCAGGAAGAAAGAAGTCAGGTCAGACGACCCCGACTCGCGTCAGTACTTGATCGAATCAACACCGCCAAAGTGTTTTCCTCGACTCTCCGACGAACTCTTCTGCGCGCAGGCGTACCCGGCTTCTCCGTCGCAGCATTCGCTACCGCCAGCCTCCAGAACAACTCTGCACACTCGACCCAGATCCCCAAGATCGCCGCCAGAGGAATGCACTCCAAGGTCGTCATCATCGGCTCCGGGCCCGCCGCCCACACCGCCGCCGTCTACCTCGCCCGCGCCGAGCTGAAGCCCGTGCTCTACGAGGGCTTCATGGCCAACGGCGTCGCCGCCGGCGGCCAGCTGACCACCACCACCGAGATCGAGAACTTCCCCGGCTTTCCCAACGGCATCATGGGCGGCCAGCTGATGGTGCGTTCGCCGCCGCGCCGCCTTTCGCGCACGTCGGATCATGCTACTGACGCTGACACTGACACTGACTTGTGCAACACAGGAGGACATGAAGAAGCAGTCGGAGCGGTTCGGCACCACCATCATCAGTGAAACCGTGTCGAAACTCGACCTGTCCGAGCGGCCCTTCAAGTACGAGACGGAGTGGTCCCCCGGCGAGGTGCACACCGCCGACGCCGTCATCCTGGCCACCGGTGCCTCGGCGAGGCGGCTGGGTCTCGCCGGCGAAGACAAATACTGGCAGAGCGGTGTGAGCGCCTGCGCCGTGTGCGACGGTGCCGTCCCCATCTTCCGTAACCGCCCGCTGGTCGTCATCGGCGGCGGAGACAGTGCTGCCGAGGAGGCCACGTTCCTGACCAAGTACGGCAGCCATGTCACCGTGCTAGTGCGGAGGGATCAGCTGCGCGCCAGCAGCATCATGGCGAAGCGGCTGTTGAACCATCCCAAGGTCACCGTGCGCTTCCACACGAGGGGTGTAGAGATCAAGGGCGACGGCAAGCTCATGACCCACCTCACCGTCGAGAACACCGTCACTGGAGAACAGGAGACGATAGAGGCAAACGGCCTATTCTACGCCATCGGGCACGACCCGGCCACCTCGCTAGTCAAGGGGCAAGTGGAAACCGATTCTGAGGGCTATATTGTCACTAAGCCAGGTACGCCCATGACCAGCGTCGAGGGTGTCTTCGCCGCGGGTGATGTGCAAGATAAGAGATATAGACAGGCCATCACAAGCGCTGGTAAGTTCGATCGATCGTCCTTCTTTTACCCCCCACCCCCCTCCCCCTTTCCCCCTTCTCCTCCTTCTCCTCCTCCTCCTCCGTTCGTGCGACCCGAGATCCCGTGCTAACAAGCTTCGGCTACCAGGGTCTGGTTGCATGGCCGCCTTAGATGCCGAAAAGTTCCTCTCGGAGCTCGAGGAAGATGACCGCGAGGGCTCTGCTAAGGGCAAGATCTAGATTTGGGATCTGCCGTATCATCGCCATTTCACACCAGCATCTGATAGATCTGTCCTATCGGCGTTTTAGCTAACATTGTAGACAGCCATTTGTCATCTTACATATATAGATAGATAGATAGATAGATACCATCAAATACACCGCCACGGGCATCCGCGAATGAATCTGAGGTAGTAGTAGTAGTAGTAGTAGTAGTAGTAGTAGTAGTAGTTATATTTAACGCCAGGGAGCCTTTATGTTGTAAGAAACTTTAAACTTTTTAAGGAATATTAAAAGTGTGTTATAGTTTAAAAAACTATTATATTATTTATATAAAAAGCAATTTATTTAGTAATTTTTAATTATTATTAAAATGTTTTTTTAAAAGTTTTTTATTATTTTTTTTTTAAAAAAAATAAAAAAATATTTATATTTAAGCTTTTTTAGCTATTTATTTTATTATAAATATTATAAAAATTATTTTAATTTTATAATTTATTAATTTTTTATAAAACTAATTATTAAATATTATAATATATAATATTAAATTAAATAAAAATAAATTAAAAAAATTAATAAATATATTAATAAAAAATATAATTATATATTTTTTTTTTTTATATTTATAGCTTTTTTTTAATTTAAATTTTT